GAATCCGAAAACCTCCAGGGCGAGCAGCGAGCTGCTCGCTCCAGGAAGTATATAGTCCGGAATGCCGTTCTTCCAGCTTGTCCCTGGGATAGCATTGCAGGTAGGCCACACCCCTGGGGAAACTCCCCTTGGGCAGACCGGCCGCTTAGAACTCAAGTCATGTGATCCATCATGGGAACCACCACTCACAACTGGAGTCCAGCCAAGTTGACACATCTTCAACTATCACATGGACCAATAAGCAACATTATGATAAATGGAGAAAAGATTGAAACTGTCAAAGACTTCACATTGCTTCGTTGTACAATCGACATGAATGGAAGCAGCAGTCAGGACATCAAATGACATATAGCACTGGGCAAATCTGCTGCAAAGGACCTGTTTCAAGTGCTGAAGAGCAAAAGTGTCTCCTTGAGGACTAAGGTGTGCCTGACACAAACCATGGTATTTTCAATCACCTCATATGTATGTGAGAACTGGACAATGAATAAGGAAGACCGAAGAAGAATTGATGCATTTGAGCTATGGTGTTAGCAAAGAATGCTGAACGTACCATGGACTGCTAAAAGAACTAACAGGTCTGTCCCCAAGGAAGTAGAGCCAGAATGCTCCTTAGAGACGAGAATGGCCAGACTTCATCTCACATACTTCAGTCATGTTGTCAGAAGAGACCATTCCCTGGAGAAGGATGTCATGCTTGGTAAGGTGGAGGGTTGATGAAAGAGGAAAGGCCCTCATCAAGATGAATTGACACGGTGGCAGTGGCAATGGACTCAAGTATAGCAAGAATCATGGAGCTGGTTCAGGACCGGGTGGTGTTTTGTTCTGCTGTGCATAGGGTCGCTATGAGTCGGAGACGACTCGATGGCACCTAACAACAACAACAACATTTTGGTTGTTCTATCAGTTCATACAACAAAATGACAAAATTGAAGAATCCTATATAGGAATGAAAAGTTAAAGGCTGCTTGTCTGCTAATCCATCCATAGATGAACTGGATTTAATGTGGTCAATAGAAAATAATTGGGCAAGAAAAGTGACTTAAAATGTTGCATCACTGTAGAGAATATTATCTAGACTAAGAGCAAACATAATACAAAAAGAGACTTATTTAACAACTTAAAATCAGGTATTAACAGATTTTTGTCAAAGTATGTTTTACATACAGCTTCTGAGACATTTTCGTATTATAAATTCAAGGCATGTCTTGATGTTCTCTCAGCCCAGTGGCAACACATCTGGAAATACTATGCATCATTAAAACTTTCATAGGAATTTTTATGCTTAGAAATACTACATATATGGTTATAAAATTCCCTTAGTGTTCACTGGCATATTAAACTAAAATGGCACTGATGGGCATATTATTGTCAGTGTTAATAATCTGCAGATGAACAACTCCCTCAGTTCAATCTCACAGTTCTTAGCTCAAATTGTATATCAGGTCAGTGATTTGTTATGTTTGCAGTAGGAAAGCCAAAATGGTGCAATTAAAATTGGAACCAATATCTGAAGTAACTATAAAAACATGTCGCCATTGAGTTGATTCCAATTCATAGTGACCCAGTAGGACTGAGTAGAACTGCCCCATATGGTTTCCAAGGTTGTAATATTTATGGAAGCAGTTTTCCTCATCTTTCTCCTGTGGAGTGACTGGTGGGTTTGAATCACTGACCTTTTGGCTAGCAGCTAAGTATTTAACCACTGTGACACCAGGGCTTCTTGAAGTAAACTAGACCCTTCCTTTTTTGTAGTAAATGGAAAGATCTTCTGAAACTTAATGAGAGTCAGTGGTTTAGAAGATGTAGGATACTATTTTGGGCTTATCACAGTTTACAGAGCCCTAGACTTGCAGTCACACAGTCTAGTACCAGGTATGTTGTTGTCACAGCAGGCAGATTACTGAAGGCTCTCATAACGCATGTGTCCTAGCCAAGTTTGGCTTGATCATCCATGATTAAGCTCCCACACACTTATTTGTTGTTGTTGTTGTTATGTGCCGTCAAGTCGGACCCAACTCATAGCGACCCCTCCTTGGGTTTCCGAGGCAGTATCACTACGGAAGTAGATTGCCTCATCTTCCTTCTGAGGAGTGGCTGGTGGGTTTGAACCACCAGATGTTAAACAAGTGGTTTCCAGGGTACTTGCATAGAGAGACTGTTTAATAGGTGAGGTACAATGTATTTTTAGGGCAAAAAACATACACACAATGGAATACTATGCAACCCTAAAGAATAATGTAGAATTGTCAAGACACTGCATGACATGGGTGAACTTGGAGGACATTGTGCTGAGTGAAATAAGTCAATCACAAAATAAAAACGCAATCACTTCCGTGGAGTCAGATCCGACTCATAGTGACCCCTCCTTGGGTGTCCAAGGCTGTATCACTATGTGACTTGTCTGTCGGTTTGTCCTACTGTGGTGACATATAGACTTGAGTTTTGAGGCTGAGCCTCTGGTGTTTAAAACCCAGCAACCTGGTGCACAGGTAACGGCTCAGCTTGTAGACTGAGACAGACTAGGAAGAAGGAAGAGGCCGTCCACTTCTCAAAGAATTGGCCAGGGAAAACCTTATGAATAGCAAAAAAACCTAACAACATCACTATGGAAGTAAATTTTCCGTCCTTTCTTCCAAGGAGCGGCTGGTGGGTTTGAACCACCAGCCTTCTGTTTAGCAGTCAAATGCCTTAGGCACTACACTACCAGAGCTCCCAAGTCAATCACAGAAGGACAAATATTATATTAGTCCATTATTGTGAAAAATCAAGTAAAGGTTTATATATGAAAAGAAATTTTCTTTGTTGGTTACCAAGGGTGAGAAGGGAGGGGAGAGGGAGGGAACATTATTCTGGTTTTATAGAAATTTGTTACACTGATTGTTCATAGATGGTCAATTTTGTGCACAGACTTAGCAATACAGCACCTTGCCAAAAAAAAAAAAAAAAAAAGAAGAAGAAGAAGACTTCCTTAGACTTGATGGTTGAACATAGTGAACCTGCTTACACCTCTGGGAAATTGTGGACTTTGCAGTTTGGAATGCTGTCCATATGTATTCTTGTTAACCACTCCAATGTTTTCTTTACCTGTGTTTTCCCATCTTAGAAGTGAGAATAATGATTCCTTCTTTTAGTTTACAGGAAAAGGTAAACTTTATATAAGATATAGATATGAAAATCCTTTGGAAACCATGTGCCGTATATCAAAGATGCTGAGTCTTATTTATGATAGCAAGTCTAATGACCCCTATGGTTTAAGAATATGTTCATCTTTTCTTAGATTCAGGTTTTATGTTAAAACTCAAGTAACTCTTTTACTTTTCTTATTTGACATTTTCAAACACTGTAGTTTGAAGCAGGAACTCTGGTAGTGTAGTGATTATTTGGCTGCTAACCAAAAGGTCAGTGGTTCAAACCCAACAACTGCTCTGCAAAAGAAAGATGGGGTAGTCTGCTTCCGCAAAGTTTACAACCTTGGAAGCCCAAAGGAGGTTGCTATGAGTTAGAATCAACTTGATGGCAGTGGGTTTGGGTTTTTCTTATAGTTTGAAGAATTTCTCATACTCTGAATAATTTGCTACATTCATTAACATTTTTATAGTAACCATGTCCTATTTTTCTAGTAAAAGGAAAAGTCTTCTACAAGTTAAGGTGATGGATTCATATTACATCCCTTTTACTACAGAAAGATTAACAAATGTCTTTACCTTAGTGTACTGATGCATCTTCCTATTTAAAATTTTTTATCTTTTTTTTTTTTTCTTTTTCCTCCAGCATCTGTTCCATCCTTGACTCACCTTTGTCGTCTGGAAATTCGGTCCAGCTTAAAACCAGAACACCTACGATCTGATAGTTTTATCTGTCAGTTGCCTCTTCCCAGAAGCCTTCACCATTATTTGCTGTATGCAGACGTTATGAGGAGGAATGAAATTCCAGAGCTGCCACTTACTCAAGAGGGAGAAGTCACTGAAGCTCCTTAGCACGGCTCATTTCTTACTCTGAGAACTACAAAGATAAAAGAGCCATGGAGTACAAATACTTCATGATTTTATAGTCACAAAAGATGATTTCTGTTTATGTGGTTGTTTAGCTCTTGAGGAGTGGTGGTTTAATACACCTGTTTACAAACTGGCTTCCTAGTAAACCAATATTGTAAACCTCACTTATGTTACTTTATTGCAGTTTTATTGCGAGTAGGTTTTGTGTTGTAATACTCATTTGCCTGACCATTTTTTGCTTTATTCTGTTAATGAAGCATCATGCTGCTTCTAGTGCTAAACATGATGTGTTCCCACCTCTGGTTCTGTTTGCCTGGTGCTAGCAGCTCAGAATGGAACATATAATATAAAGTTCATTGGAAGTGTACACATCTGTGGGGCTAAAATTCTTTATTACAGTACTATTATTATCCATGGGAGAAAGATGAAGCAGTCTGCTTCCGTAAAAATTTACAGCCTCAGAAACCCTACAGGGCAGTTACGCTTCATTTTATAAGGTACAGTGAGAGTCATAATTGACTCGATGGCAGTGGGTTTGGTTTGGGTTTTATTATTATTTTATTAGGGGTTGAACTTCTCTTACACTTATAAAAGAACAAGTTTTCCTAATATGCCATATTTTATTCTTTTCTCTTAATTCAGTCAGTTATGAAGAATTGCTGGTCACTGGCTTTTCACCTGTAAACTCAGGGAAGATTTTTTTTTTTTTTTTTAATGAATACAGAAGATGAGTCTGTTTTCCTTTTTTTTATTTTTCCAGTTCCTTAATACTCTCCTTGGCGGCAGGGAACACCACTCTATTTGTAGTCTGTAAAGGCAGGAACAGATGTGAACTCAAAGATAAGCTCTGTTGGGAAAAAAAAAAAGCTTAGTATTGACATAAATGATCTTTTCATCGTACTTAAAGTACTAATCAAGAGACTGTGATGGGCATTCCTATGACTCTATCTTTAAAGAAAAACAAATTTGTATCTTTTAAGTTTCTAATTTATCAAATTTAAGATTCAAGCTCTGTTCAGCCCCAGAATCAAAAGGCAGCTTTGAGCCTATGAAGCAGTGATAGCTAGTGCTATTAATATTACAGACTTTTCCCTTTTTATTATGTAGATAGGTTATCAAACAGTCCAAGAAATAGAGACTTCAAATCCCAGGTTAGTGAGGCACTGCCTCATTGGCTTCATGATTGCTCGGTCTGAATCTAGAGTCAGGAAGAATGAAACACTGAAACAAGTGAGATATGGTAACAGGCTGCAGGGACCAGCCTGGATAGAAAGGCTATGAAAGCATTACTGTTACAATGGTGAACCAGAGATGGGGGGTCTGGAGGAGGCAAGTTGCCTGTCCTTTTGGGATCCTGTGGTTTCAAATAAATGGTAATGGGTCACCCAGGTGCATCTTTGTTAGTCCTTGGCTATTTGAGAAAAGCAGTGATGAAGGAGGACCAGTCAATGGGACACTGGTAAGGCCCAGAGGGGATGACTGAGCTGGTAGATTACAGCTGCAGTGTTGCCTATTGGGCAGAGATGGAGTGAATGTGGGGTACGGGCAGAAGTAAAGTTAGAAATGCACAACCAGCTGGAAATTCTGATAAAAAAAATCCAAGACTATGTTTCATGTAATAGTTTTTTAATATTATCGTAATCTTTATTTTTCTAAATCTTAATTCTCTGATTTTTAACTTAAGACCAGTTTTTTTTTTTAATTCATTAGAGCCAAATGTACATAGAACATTTACATTTAAGGATGAATATTTTCCTCTGTTTTATTAATGTTCAAATATACAATAAACTCAACTATCATGAATATATATACTGTCGAGTTCTTATTCTTTTTTTTTTTAATTTTATTTTATTTATTGTGATTTGGGTGAAGATGTACAAAGCGAATTCACTTTGCGTACAGCAGTTCACATATACTTTGTCTCATGACATTGACCACAGTTTACAATGCAA